TGTGCATGTGTTAATATATTTTTCTGTTCCTAATTAATAGTTTTAAAAATCTTTTTAGTCAGGTAAAAGTTCCAGAAATCTGAAATACAAAGATTTTTTTGATCCAGTTGAAAGTGATGAAGACACAACAAGTGTTCATGATGATGAGCTGGATTCAAACAAAGATGATGATGAAATTGCTGAAGAGGAAACAGAAGAACTAAATATTTCGGAAACGTGAGTATTTTGAACCATCCTTTATATTGTAGGCTGGAATTGCCCAATCATGTATGTGTACTCGTAGTTATCAAATGTGTCTGTCTTAAGAAGTTGGATTCTCTAATATCAGATATTCTCAAGATAGCCAGAGGAAAGTCTCTGAATGTAAAGGGACATTAGATATCACTTAATGAAGAAAAATATCACTGGTAGTAGCAATCAAACCTTCCTTACCAGGAACTTTGATTTGGTTTTGTGTCAATAAAATCCTGTTATTTTTGTGAGATAAGAGATTTGTATTGTAGATTGATGAATAATTTATTTTATATATGTTGGACACTTTTTGTTCTGTTTCTTTTTTTTTTTTTTGAGACGGAGTCTTGCTCTGTCACCCAGGCTGGAGTGCAGTGGCGCAATCTCCACTCACTGCAAGCTCCGCCTCCCGGGTTCACGCCATTCTCCTGCCTCAGCCTCCCATGTAGCTGGGACTACAGACGCCCGCCATCACGCCTGCTAATTTTTTTTTTTTTGTAGTTTTAGTAGAGACGGGGTTTCACGGTATTGGCCAGGATGGTCTCGATCTCCTGACCTCGTGATCTGCCCGTCTCGGCCTCCCTGTTCTGTTTCTTACATAGCATTTTACCTAAATAATACCTTTTGTTCCTTAATAACTGAATGATTTTGGAAGTTCTGAGTATTTGGTTGCATTAGGTATATAAAAGAAGAACTTTATTAAGGGAAAATTTGTTTCCTTTTGTTTTTCTAATGGAAAGTAGCATATTTTTTTTTGTAAGAGTTTTGGTATTGTAGGGATGAAGATGATGACCTTGAAGAAAATGAAGACGATAAACAACATAAAGAAAGCTTGAAAAGAGTGACCTTTGCTTTACCAGATGACGAGGAAACTGAAGATACAGGTGTTTTAAATGTAAAGAAAAATTCTGATGAAGTTAAATCCTCTTTTGAAAAAAGGCAGGAAAAGGTAATTAGTAATTTATGGAATTTTTAATATACTTGACATTAACCATCCTTTGAAAACTATTAACCATCCTTTGAAAACAGGTATCTTGGCCAGGTGCAGTGGCTCACGCCTGTAATCCTAGCACTTTGGCAGTCCAAAGCAAGAGGATCGCTTGAGCTCAGGAGTTCAGAACCAGCCTAGGCAACATAGTGAGACCTTGTCTCTACCAAAAATACAAAAATTATCTGGGCATGGTGATGTGTACCTGTAGTCCAACTACTCTGGTGGCTGAGGCGGGAGGATCACTTGAGCCTAGGAGGTTGATGCTGTGGTGAGCTATGATTGCATCACTGCTCTCTAGACTGGGTGGCAGAGCAAGACCTTGTCTTAAAACAAACAAAAAACCAAAAATCTTCCCATATGGAAAGCATCTGATGAGCAAAAGTCAGTGCCTGCATTTCAATTTGGGGCCTGTGAGTAAAATAGTTGCTTCTGCTGGGCGCAATGGCTCACACCTGTAATCCCAGCACTTTGGGAGGCTGAGGCAGGTGGATCACTTCAGTTCAGGAGTTC